GACCTTTATTACCAAATCACATTTATTGTAACTCCACATAGACGAGGTAAGGATAACTTAACTGCACACTAATTTTTCTTTTTTAACCATTATTTTTTTGTTTTTCTTTGTTACTTTACATTCCAATTCAATCCTCAAATTTATTATTTGATTGTTTAGATATGTTCTTTATCGTTACCTTTTACAATTTAAATGTGTGGCAAAATTTTAATTGGATGCTTGCTAGGATGTTGTGTCCGGCAGAATTATAAATTAATAATGTCCACCCAAATAAACAAAATTCTGCCTGCATATCCTTGACAAATATGGAAATAAAGGATTTGGAGTTACCAAAATAATTACATATCAATTTAAGTAATTTAATAAAGGAAGTTTTATTATTCTTTTTTAGCAGTCGGCACATTTTTGTGCACGAGTTGACAGTTTATATAAAACCCTTTCCTCATAATTTTTTTCTCCTAAATTATATTACGATGCCTGTACTTAAAAATATTAAAAATTTTATCTGCTGCACCGGAAATTCAGGTAAACATGTTTACGTATGTATCTACCGATAATTAGACAAATATTCTAAAAAAAAAAAAAATTTAAAATAATAGAATTAGACCCTAAATCAGAAGGTAAAGATTATTTATTCATTTGTTTATCAAACTGAAATTCTTAATAAGAAAATAAATAAATAAAACACATTAGCGCCAGATTCTAATGCCAAGGAAACTCCTATATCAAAAAAATCAAATGGTAAATTCATTTTTTTTCATCAAGCATAATACTTTAATAATTCATTTCGAAAATTTCTAAAATAATAAATTAACGTCAGGTTTGGATTCTGAGAGATCTCCTGCATCAAATGGTAAGTAAAATTATAAATTTGTTTTTCACACTATAATTTAAATATTGATAATAATAAATTAGCGCCAGATTCGAATGCCAAGGAGACTTCAGCATCTAAAATATCAAATGGTAAATTCATTTCTTATCATCCTATATCTTTCAATATTCAGTTAAATGATTTTCCTAATAAAAATTTGGTGGCGTTAGACTCGGATCTCCCTACACCAATTGGTAAGATAAATTATATATTTGCTCATCATGTCTATCTCATAATAATTTCGTAAAAAAAAAAGATTTGGATCTCGAGAAAACTCCTACACTACCAAATGGTAAGATAATTAATTATACATTTTCCCATAATAATTATTTTATAATAATCAATTCCTAAATTTTTTCGTAAAAAAAAAAAAAAAAAAAAAAAAATTGGTTCTAGAGAAAACTCCTTCACCAGATGGTAAATATGATCTATAAATTGCTCATTTAACTTTAATTCTTTTAATAAATGTTTTTTTATTAAAAAAGAATTTAAACTTTTAGGACCAACGCTTAATCCTGTTCTTGATGGATTAGAAACCGCAACTGGCATAATATTACCATTTGTAAGTTTTCTACCACTTATAAAAGAGGTAGCTGAAGTATTTAATGAAATTGTAGAAATTTATCAATCAGCTGAACATAATACAAAAATATGTGGAATATTGTTGGATAGAGTCCAAATAGCTGATACAGCCTTGAGGAATTTAAAAAATCGTAGAGACAAAAATGAAAAATTTTTTTCAAAAAGAAATTTTACCCATTTACAAAAATTGGTGAATATCATTCGTAAAATTCGGAAGTTTGTTGAAGAAATTTCTCAATTAAGAGGTTTATCCAAGTATATTCAAGCTAAAAGTATTGAAAGTAATGTTAACGAATTAAGTAATGAGTTTGATTCCACTATGCAAGCATTGCACTTTTCTCTGACGGTCGATTTTAGTGTATGTGCAGAAAAAGATAGTGAAGATATTAAGTCTGATATCAATGACTTAACGAAGGTAATGTGTACCATGCATACATTGAAATTTATATTACAAGAAACCTTATTTTACAAATTCGCTTATATAGTACCTTGATGAAATCGGAAGTGGTGTAACTGACGGGAATCATAAGATCTCGGCCATTTTCACACAATTGAGTGCACTTAATGAAACATTGTTGAAATCGGCAAATACTGATGTATTCAAAAGTGAATTACTCGAATATAATGATTATGAAGAAGGAGAACTTAAAGATAACTTAAGACTGTCAAAGGTTAGAAAATATAAGAGAAAAAAAGATGGTGATTTTGTCGCATTCAAATTATTGACTAATGAAAACAGCAGTCATGAAGATAAAGATAATCTTAGAAAACAGATTACAATTTTAAAAAAATTGGAACGATGTGATTGTATTATTCAATATTATGGTTTATCTACGTATAATAATAAATTTTATTTGGTGACTGGATGGGCTGATTATGGCAATTTACGCGAATATTATCAAAATTATCCGCTTGGGGTTAAGCTGAAATTAAGGTTTGCTCTTGATATTGCTAAAGGCTTGAATTTCCTGAGCTCTGCTTCGGTAATTTATTCTTCTTCTATTATTATTATTTAAGTTCTCTATCATAGAAATTTTTAATTCATAATTGAAATCATTTGTTATTTTTGGGTAACAGATCGTTCATCGTGATATTAGAGCCGAGAATATCTTAATTACTGATCATGAGACGGCCAAAATTGCAAATTTTCAAGCAAGTCGATCTGTATCTGATAATACAAAAAATCATGCTGCTACACTAGAAGCTATACGGTATTGCGCTCCTGAAAAGTTAGAAAATAGGACAAAATATGATACCAAATGTGAAGTGTATAGTTTTGGCATATTACTTTGGGAAATTGCTGAAAAGAAAATTCCTTATGAGAAATATAATGATATAACGATTATACAAGAGCTCGTTTGCACTAAAAAATATCGTGAACAATTTTCTCATGGTTCTTTACCAAGAGAATATCAAGAACTCGCAAACAAAGGTAGGAATTATTCTTTAATAAATCTATTGCATGCTCTTTACTAATATGCCATTATAAATCTATCCTAGCTGTTCATCATGATTATAATTTTAGGCCTCAATTTTCAAAGATCTTTACCGTATTACA